CTTTAAGGTCCCTTCCAACCCAAACCATTGACTGTATGATTATTTGCCTTGAAGCTGTCGGATCCCACAGTTACTTTTAATAACAGATACCAAACGCTGCTTTTGAGCAAATGAGTGACATCTCCAAGCCCTGTCACCTTGCAGAGCTGGAGTTCTTGCAAAAGCATTAAGAGAAAAATGCTCCAACCCTGAGATGTGATGCTTTAAATAATTTATTTATTATTATTATTATTTTAAATGGAGATGTTCTGGATGCATTTGACCAACTTCCCTGCTGGTGTCCCTGCATGGTGCTGTGAGGTTGCTGATGCTGGTGGCCTGCCCAGCAGCTAAACATAGGTGCTGGCCACACGAGGCACTTTGGACACATTAATTATCCTCGTGCTTTTTAGGGATCTTGGGTGAAATACACGTTTTTATCGTCCGTTTTCTTTTTTTAAGCAGCTTGGAGCAGGAGCCCTTTAATTACATTAAAAATCACCTCCCACCAGCACTCCCTGTTTCCCAGCCCTGATGGAACTGAAGCTCCAGGCTGGATGCGTGGTCGTGCTGTGGGGACGTGGGGCAGCCCTTGGGGACGTGGGGCAGCAGCAGCAGTCCCTGCCCTGTGCCCCCCACCTCGCAGCCCCTCCAGCTGCCCCCAGCCCCATGGCTGATGGTGTCTCACTTTACCTTGGCATCAGAAAACTGCACCCCTGCCTTTCCCTCCCCCTACTTTTTATTTTTTCTTTGCCTTTTTAAAAATTTTCTTTGCCTTTTAAGATTTTTTTTGCCTTTTTAAAATTTCCTTTGCTTTTTCTTATTTCCTTTGCTTTTTATTTCCTTTGCTTTTTATTTCCTTTGCTTTTTATTTCCTTTGCCTTTTTTTAATTTCCTTTGGCCCCTTTTTTTCCCCTTTGGCCCCTTTTTTCTCTGCTTTTTTTTCTTTTCTTTTCTTCCTTTTTTCTTTGCCTTTTTTCTTTTCTTTGCTTTTTTTCTTTGCTTCTTTTTTCTTTGCTTCTTTTTTCTTTGCTTCTTTTTTCTTTGCTTCTTTTTTCTTTGCTTTTTTTCTTTGCTTTTTTCTTTGCTTTTTTTCTTTGCTTTTTTCTTTGCTTTTTTTCTTTGCTTTTTTCTTTGCTTTTTTTCTTTGCTTTTTTCTTTGCTTTTTTTCTTTGCTTTTTTCTTTGCTTTTTTTCTTTGCTTTTTTCTTTGCTTTTTTTCTTTGCTTTTTTCTTTGCTTTTTTTCTTTGCTTTTTTCTTTTTCCTTTGCTTTTTTTCTTTGCTTATTTTTTCCTTTGCTTTTTTGTTTTTCCTTTGCTTTTTTTTTTCTCTTTTTTTCTTTTTTTTTGTGTGTGTGTGTGTGGGTTTGCCTGGCCAGAGGCACCAGCTGAGAACCACATCCAGCTCCAGGCCTCCCTTGTAATTACAGCTCCTCACAGTGACACGCTGGGCTTTGAAGCCCGTGGGGCAGATGCAGCTGCACCCCACGGCCTCGGGGTGAGCACCCATCCAGCTCACAGCTGGGGCTGCTGGAACCCTGGGGGGCTGCAGGGCACCTCTCCCTCCCCAAAAGTGTGTGATGGTGTTTTGACAACTCCCCATGATGTACTGGTTGATGTGGTGAGGAGCAAAAAGACAACAAAAATAACAACAGCAAGAAAAAAAAAGGTTTATTTATCTGGTCCTAACCTGGGGATTTGGTTAACTGGAAATTGTTTGCTTCCCAGTCAGATTCACATTCAAACTGGGCTCCTCTGGTTGTGGGTGAGGTTTTCAGCAAGCACAGCCTTGAGCAGAAATCTGAGTGTTCAGGTCTTCCACTGCAAAGTGGGTTTTTCTGCCCTAAATATCCCGAGTTTTATCACTGCACATCACTGACCTGCATTTTCCAGCCCCAATGTTCCCTCTCTGAGGGTTGTAGGGCTGAAGGCATCAGGTGAGATTTACAATTCTCCTTGGAAAGCGAAGTGTTCAGCAAGGAGCTGCTGCAGCCCAGGCGTGTGCTGGAGCGGTGATGTGTGCAAGAAAAATCTGGGAAAGAGGGAATGCTGGAGAGCTGGGTGGCTGGAATCTCAGCAG